AAATGCCCTCAGGTCCCTCGCGTTCTCGCGTGCTGTGTATTGGAAACTGCGCACACTCCTCTCAGGGGCCCCGGACCCCAACCTGTCGGGCTTCCCGGGCGCCCGTTGGAATCGCCGCGTGACTTTTTGACAGAGGACTCGGGATCGTGCTGGGGAGCCCACGCTTCCCACGTGTCCTAAGGGGGCCCAGAGGGGCAGTCCTGGGGCTCTCTTTGTGGCCTCTTCGGCCGTCTTGGAAGCCACGGTGACTTGACCAATACGCCCAAACTATGGACCAATATGCAAACAAAAGGCTCAATAGGAAGGGCAGAAGGCCCCAAGACAGAGAGCTCAAACTGAACTGCCAGTCGAAGCTCTCAATCTGAAGATGGCCGAGCAGGTACGAAAAGGCCCCAAACAGGCAGAGCCCAGAGGTCCTCAGCAGACACCCCAAAAGGGCCCGGAGAGGCATCCGATTGTCCATGACCCAGGCACAGTGGCGGGGTGGCCCGGAGGCCACTAGATACGTTTTCACTGCTCACTACCCCTACCCCCGCATCTCCCACCTGGGGAGGACATCGCCAAAGCCGGATCTGATGAGAGGGGGTGAATAGCAAACGGGGGTTAGGGAATCACCTCACGTAGCTGATTTTCGCGGCACCTGCTGGCGCCAGGAGGCGACAGTATACAGAAGAAAACCCCCAGCGGGGAAATTCAAAAACCGCCCATGTGAGCGACGAAAAGAAACGGGTCTTAAACGATATGGCATAGCGACACTGCGCCGCGGCTTACGCGGGCCGCCAGCGCGGCACGCCACATTGGAAACGAGGGCGCTTACGCGCGGCCTCAAGCGGGAAGCTTGCGCACGCGTGTTTGCGCGGACGACGAACTCATCTCGTTCCGTCTCCCAAATGGGGTCCGAAAAAATCAAGCGAACGAACGAGCGAGCGAACGCCGGAGTCGTGCGCGCTCCGCTTGGGAGAAGGCCCGTGCCCAGTAGGGCATGGCGTGGAGGCCGCGGCCTCGGAGCTGTGAGTTTGTACAGGCCCGTCGCATCGGCGAGGCGCGCCTGCCGAGAAACTACTCCCTTGACACTGTCGCCACACACGTTGAGGTACCGCACGAGAAGTTTTACGTCAAAGACCAAATGTCTGGACAAATCCGCCTCGCTTCGACACCTTCCGCGCAATATACACACGCGCGGACGCCACGACCACGCCTGCTCCCCACGCCGCAATGCATCCTCGACGTGTTCTCGGTTTGTTCGTATGCCCGTCCACAGAAAGTCACAATGGCTTTTGCGAGCTGCAAGAAGAAGACGGCCTCACCATGTTTGATACTCCGCTGGTTGCCTCGAGGGCAAGCCTTTGCCAACCTAACCTTACCGGGATTTACTGGATTAGTTTGATCGTTTTGTTTCCAATTTCCATGGCGTTGCATTCCCGCAACCGCCTGCGATATTGCGCCCCTTTCCACAATGCCTGAATACGCGATGCAGCGATGTGCTTATTCTCTATTGAGTCGTGTTCTGGCTGTTGGTTATGTTCTGGCTCCAACGGCTCCAACACTCCCAACCCCGTGCCATATGGACAGTACCTGTCGGATTCCTCGTCCAAGTGGGCACCACCTCCTGGAATGGCCAATAAAACAGACACGACATGCTCCAGCACGCATTGTACTGAAACAAACCGTTGCTCCAATAGATCAAGCTTTGAAACTGATAAACCAGAATACATAATGGGCCAGAGATGCAGGTAGTGAAGCATCTTCTGCGCGAACGATGCGTATGAATCAATGCAGTCCTGATTGCTGCACGCTTCTCCCTTGCATGCCGTGTTTGTGACTTTAATTGCTAATGTTCCGCGCAGGACCGCTCCGGCAAACAATCCGTACGGACGCGAGGCGGGACCGTTCCAGTACACACGTGATACTGCGACATATGGCAGAAAATGCGAAGTCTGGCGACGAATGGTTCGGAACACCCTTGAACCAACTTGCTCCCTTGAACCACCTTGCTCTTGAGCCTTGAACTTGAGCCAAAGTGACCGAGCCTTGAGCCTTGAACCTTGCTCTGTAGCCTCGAACCTTGCTCTTGAGCCTTGAACTTGCTCTTGAGCCCGACTAGATGGGGCCGGAGGATTGTGCCACACCGCCAATGATCGCCGACGCATCGGCGACGTCGGCGACGCCTGGGCGCCGTCGGCGTGGGAGAAATCGGGCTCCACATCGAGTCGCATCGCCCCTGCACCGGCGGCTCGGCGCGATCTCCCGACCGTGCCCGCTCGGAGCCCCTGCTGCGGGGGCAGCAAGCGACCACAACGACATCGATCCTGAGGGGACCGCCAGAAAAATCAACCTAGTTGTGGCTGTGGCTCTATTTGGCGGCGCGCACAAGGGGGTGGGAGGAGGGGGGAGGGCTTCCTAGAAAGAGGCTGCGCCTTGAGCTCGGGAGGTCGATCTTCGGGGACCCTGGCAAGCGGCGGATATGGATCCCCCAGGCCCTAACACATCCAGCTGCGCCGCCAGGCGAGGCCCCCAAAGATCGGCCCCCCCGGGCGGTGGTCCATGGTCAACCTCCGCCTCGGAGAGGGGGGGAGGCCCCGGGGGGGCAGGCGCTCTGCCAGCTTTCGGCGTCGTGGCCGAGCACAGCATCCAGGGAGAGAGGCCTCCCTGGAGGGGTGGGGAAGAAAGCAAGAGGACTTCCGGGACTTCCGCCATCGAGTCATGATATGGAGGAGGAGGAGGAGGAGGAGGAGGAGGAGGAGGAGGAGGAGGTGGAGGCGGAGCAGGAGGAGGAGGAGGAGCGGGGAGGATGCGAGGGCAGACCGTGACGTGGGCCGGGCCTTGTCCGGGGCGCGGCCTACCACCACGGCGGTCTTCCCGTTGTGCTGGGGCGCGCCCTTGAGGCCGACGACCTGCACCTTCCACGGGGCCGGGAACAACCGACCGAACGAACCACCAGTGCGGGCAAGTTTCTGGGCCTCAGTAAACGGCCGTAGCCGCGAGGTACTGCAGTGCGCGTTGAGACATGCACGCAAGACATGTCAAAAGTTGTGTGAGGCAAAGGAGGAAGATGAGGAAGCCTTGGAAGTAGTCGATGTCGTCGAGTGATGGGAATGGAAGATGGAGGGGGGAGCGGAGGGGGGTCACGAGCGGCGAACGTATCCATATCCACGTCCTCGGGGTCTCGATTCCAGGGCGGCTTGGACGGTATGGGGCACGTCATGGCAGGGTGCACTGCGATCCCCACCATATGCGCGCGAGCATCAGCACCAACATATGCGCGTTACTGTTACCCGGGACTGGGGGGAGGGGCTGGCTAACGACCGTGACGCGCCGGCGGCTCAAAACAACCTCTCCCGCTTCCCCCGGGGGTGGCTGTTGTCCTGGATCCGTGGTTGACCCCCGGGGCCCGAGAGAGAGGCACTCGGGTGCCGAACTCGAGGACAGACCGCCGGATCAGGGATGTGGAGGATGCCTGATCAGGACAGACCGCCCGACGACCGGGCACAGGGTGCCCGAACTCGAGCACGTGACGAGTTACCCTGATCAGGGATGTGGAGGATCAGGGCCTTGCGTCGCGTCTGCGCGACAGGATCGGGAGCCCCAACACAGACCGCCGGTGAGAAAAACGTGCCAGGTCGTCGGAGATCTTGGGGGCGCTGCTGCCCTCCTCCGACGCGCTGTGCCACGGCAGGCACTCCCGAGGGGGAGGGGGCGGACCCGCGGCGCGCGCTGCACGTGGGAGTGGGGCGGAGAAGGAGGAGGAGGAGGAGGAGGAGGAGGAGGGAGAGGGAGAAGGAGGAGGAGGAGGAGGAGGAGGAGGAGGAGGAGGAGGAGGAGAGGGGGGAGGAGGAGGAGAGGAGGAGGAGGAGGAGGAGGAGGAGGAGAAGAAAGAGAAGGAGGAGGAGGAGGAGGAGGAGGGAGGAGGAGGAAAGGAGGAGGAGGAGGACCAGTGCAAACCCGAGAGTCACCATCGAAATTGGAATAAACCCTCCCCCCAAGCTCCCTCTTCACAGGCCCCTGCAACGGTTCATTTCCACAGAGAGACCTGCCTCGTTGGAAGACACCCGTTTGAAGACCCTGAAGCATGCCAAAACATTATTCTCGGTATTCCAACGCCACGGATGAACCTGACTGTTGCGTCTTGACGATCTTGAATCGTGCCAGAACGCCATTCCTGGGACCTCAACCCCGCGAACCATCGTAACGGTTGCGCCCTCAAAATCGTGAATCCTTCCAAACACACAATTCCTGGTACGCCGATCATGCGAATCCGTGAAACTATTGAAACTGTTTAACAAGAATGTGTGCGGCACTCAGACGAGAACCACAATTTGAAAAAGAACCGCCTTCAATCCGTGAAACTCTTGCAAATGTTGAAATCGAATGTGCGCGGCGCCAAGGCGAGAACCAAATACTGAAAAACACCCGCCCTGTATCCGTGATACTCTTGCAAATGTGGAAATCGAATGTGGGCGGTGCTAAGGCGAGACCCAAATCTGAAAATGACCCGCCCTCAATCCGTGATACTCTTGTTTTGAAAGCGAATGTGCGCTGCGCTTGGGCGAGAACCACATTTCGAAAACCACCTGCCCTCGATTCGTGAAACTCTTGCAAATGTTTAAAACGAATGTGCGCGCCGCTAAAGCGAGAACCACATTTTGGAAACGACCCACCCTCAATCCGTGAAGCTCTTGCAAATGTTTAAAACGAATGCGCGCGGCGCTAAGGCGAGAACCACATTTTGAAAAGGAAACGCCCTCAATCAATGATACTCTTTGAACTGTTGAAATCGAATGTGCGCGGCGCTAAGGCGAGAGCCTCGAGAGCCACGTTTTCAAACAACCCGCCCTCCATCTGTGAACCAGTTGCCAATGTTTAAGCTTCAGGGTCATAAATGGTGAGGAAGTCTCAGGCGAGACGCACGGCCCGCCCTAGAAACTGGCTTCGGGGTGCGACAGGGAGAAGTTACTTAAGAGAAGGAATGGAGCCTGGGCAAGGGGGCTGGATTGGGGTGGCTCCGCGCTGTGAGGCTGGGCCTCACCCACCCGTGAGGCAGGCCGGGGAGAAAGTGAGCGGCCGAGACACGCTGACGGGGGGGGGGTAGCCGGAACCAAGACGGTGGCCTGCCACCGAGGAGGCAGGCCCATCAGAGCAGGAGGCAGCACGCAGGAAGAGGAGGGGCAGCCGCGCTCAGCGAGAGCCGCTCCCCCAAGGCAGGCCCCCACAGCAGAGGGAGTGGTACAATGGCAGGTCACTGAGGTACTGGCCTGAGAGAGAGCGGATGAGATAAGGAGACTTCGCAGAAAGCGTGCCGCCCACACATCTAGGCAGCCACGAGACCTTGAAAACGCCATGCAATGCGTTGCCGCTGAAGCTGACGAAATTACATCAATCTTCCCAGCGTTCTGGAGAAGCGGGCGGACTCGTGGTGTGGAAGGCGGTTAAGGCAGGATGGGTTTCGCCCGCCCTCCCCCCGCCTCCCCTCCCCCAAAAAGGAAACCCCTTGGGACAAGACATACACTTTGAGGCGCTGCCTGTCCACCAACAAGGATCCTGACTGGGCCCACCCTTCGCCCGAGGTCGATGGATGTATTATGCCCTCTAGGCAGCGCCAGGAAGCGTATAAACTGATGCTGGGCGCACTGTTGGCCTGGCAAGGGTTGATGTGGGTGGATGGCTGCCCATCCCCCCCGACGAGAGGCGGAGACGGCGGGAAGCTGATTCACACCCTACGCAAGCCGGAGACTCCGAGGGTGGCTAAGGGGCACGCAGCAAGGGGAGAGCGACTCCATCGACGCCAGGGCCTCTCCCTGAACAGGACACACCATACGGCGAAACGATGGCAACGCAAAGAACGTACGCACGTAAGGTTCATGCTATTCTGGCTCTGCAGGGCTGTGCCACAAGCAGGCTGAGAAACGCCCTCGCGCGGCCCGCGTTCGCGACGTGCTCCCACGCGGCTTCGCGGCCCGACCGTGCATTGGCCTCCGTAGATCCCTCAGAGCTGCCGCTGCTTGGGGAGCCGCAAAATGGCCCGACGAGGAGGGGGCGGGAGGGGGGCGGAGGGGAACCAGAAGGTGCCGATACCGCCGTTATGTCGGGGGTGGACAAACCTCCCTTTAATAAAACACAGTTTAGTGAAAACGGCCTGGGACCGAAATCGACGGACCTGCAACAATGACAGCCGCGGCGCCCTCTCGCGAACCGAAAACGACCAATTCGCTAACCGACGTGTCAGGGTAGGAGGCCTATCAACCTCCGACTGGGGTGCGCTCTGACCAGGACTCCGGGCCGAATCCAGCCGTGGCTACGAGGGAGGGGCAGCGGCATCGGCACCTTGTCCTCCTCCCCCTCTGGGAGAGGCGAGAGGGGGTGGGGCAACCAGCCCGCGCCCCCCCGCAATTTCCGAACGCACGACGGAGGCAGGCAAACAAACAGGCAGGCAGACCACGGCCGCTTGCTCCTCCGCGAGGCGCCGGCGGACGTGGCAAGCCACTCCGCCCGCTCTAGCACGGTGCGGAGGCCCCGTGAGGGGCACACCCTGTAAGTCCATCTGGCATAAATGGGAGGCGGGTCCCTGAAGGAAGCGTTAGGTCGGGCATGTCCTCCAATAGGCGGATGTTGGCCAAAAGCAGAACATAGCCAAGAATTGCTCTACACAAATACTTACAAATACCCACGGGAATCGTCCCCAGATTAACCCCAGGAAGCATTTCAGAACCCCCCGGCGATATCTTAGCACCGCATTTTTATTCGATATTCCGAAGGGCCGAAATAACCGAACGATATGTTTAGCACCAGGACACAAAACAAATTCGCGGAGGCCTGGCCCCTGGGCCACAATCGAAATTCGAAATTCAAATCTGCGTGGCTCTCATGAAAGACTCAGGATGTCGCTTGCTGCTTGGAAAATGCAAGCAATGATAATAATATTAATATTCGCAAGCATATTTGATGACTCCTAACGACTTGAATGGATCCATCAGGTTTCATACAAGTTCCGCAGGATTCTCAAGGATTCCTATGGATTCACAAAGATTCGTCAGGATTCATAAAAAGATTCAAAGGATGTCCAGGGATTCCTGAATATTTCCAAGGAATCCAAAGGATTCCTCAGGAATCTGGAGAATTCCAAAAGATTCGTAAGAATTCCTTAAGAGTCCTAGAAAGGTTTTCCCTTACTGCTTATGAATTCCTGTTCCTTGTCTTGCTCCTCCTTCTCCTCTCCTCCTCCTCCTCCTCCTCCTCCTCCTCCTCCTCCTCCTCCTCCTCCTCCTCCTCCTCCTCCTCCTCCTCCTCCTCCTCCTCCTGTTCTCTCTTCTGATATGCTGGCCTCTTGGAAGAGATTTCTCATTCAAACCCCTTCTAGAAATTGATTTTCATCGGCCGTCCTAGGGGAAGGTCCACGAGAGGGTATCCCGCCCCCCACCGCACCGTGGCGTTATCTTAGCACCCGGCCACGCGAAAAAAACACTCCAGTTCTATTCCTGCGGGTGTCCTAGGGATTCCTAAGGATTTATCTAGGATTCTTAAGGATTCCCTTACGATTCCTGCGCCTTCCTAAAGCTTTCTGTGGATTCCTCAGAATTCCAGAAGACTCCTTTAAATTCCTAAGGGCTCGTCACAAATTCCAGGGGATTCCTCATGAATGTTAGGATTCCTAAGGATTCCTACAGGGTCCTCAGGATTCCTGAGGATTCCTAGAGATTCCTAAACATTCGTTCTCCTCCTTCTCTTCCTCCTCCTCCTCCTCCTCTCCATCGCCTCCTCTCCTTCCAGTGCTTCAGACTTGTGAGCGACGCTTCCATCTCATCAAGAATCCAATCTGACCTGGGCAAGACACAGGACAATCTGCCGACGATCCGTTCTGAATCAACTGGAAAGGCTGAGAAACCTGGGAAAGCTGAGAAACCTGGGGAAGCTGAGAAACCTGGGAAAGCTGAGAAAACTGAGACAACTGAGAAGCTTTCCCTGCTCCTGCTTCTCCTCCTTTTCCTGTTCATGTTCCTTGTCTTGTTCCTCCTTCTCCTCTCCTCCTCCTCCTCCTCCTCCTTCTCCTCCTCCTCCTCTCCTCCTCCTCCTCCTTCTCCTCCTCCTCCTCCTCCTTCTCCTCCTCCTCCTCCTCCTCCTCCTCCTTTTCTCTCTTCTGATCTGCTGGCCTCTTGGAAGAGATTTCTCATTCAAAACCCTTCTAGAAATTGATTTTCATCGGCCGTCCTAGGGGGAGGTCCACGAGAGGGTATCCCGCCCCCCCCGCACCGTGGCGTTATCTTAGCACCCGGCCACGCGAAAAAAACAATCCAGTTCTATTCCTGCGGGTGTCCTAGGGATTCCTAAGGATTTATCTAGGATTCTTCCTCATCTCGTCTCCTCCTCCTGCTCAGGAGAAGGCCCAGAGGGGAAACCCCAGGTGACTTGTGCCCTGACAGGCCTTGGGCCCCGAGGGAAGGGGGGGGGCGCGGGAGGAGGAGGAGGAGGAGGAGGAGGAGGAGGAGGAGGAGGAGGAGGAGGAGGGGGCAGGAGGAAGTTCGTGGGTGGAGGAGAGGAGGAGGATGAGGAGGAGGAGGAGGAGGGCTCCTGGTGTCAGGTAACGCTTCCAGGGTGCGGAAGGGTTATCGATTTGCCGGAAGGGGGGGGGGGGGTTCTTAAGTGCTTCCTGGGGTTATGTTTTTACAATTTTTGAATACTCCTTCTGCAAATGGCCAGGCCCGACTTGACTCGAAAAGGAAACGGGCCCTGGACCCCGGGGCCCTGCCCCAGGACGAGTCCTTCCTCCCGACTCGTGTTATCTGGCACTCCCGGGGCCCCTTTGTGGGGCCCCCGGAGGCCAGACCACATGATCGACCCACGAACCCGGAAAGGAGTATAGAATGGAAGGCATGGCAACCTTTCAAAGGCACCTGGTTGGGCGACGGGCACATGCAATGCTGAGTGCATCGATCTTGATTTACCTCGGGCCCCGTTTCCCTCAGGACCCGCCTCCCACATTCGAAGAAGGAACTACGCCACACACATGAACTTTTGGCGCTCCGCGCGGATTTCTTGGCTCCGCGCTGGGACCGCCCCGGCGGCGCCTCTGGCGAGGACCCTGGCGCGCTCCGCGCGCCAGGGAAGGGGGTCCAGCGCGGAGCCAAGAAATCCGCGCGGAGCGCCCAAAGTTTCTGTTTATGGCGGTGTCTCTTCTTCGACCCATGGCGACGACACCCTCTCGTTCCATTCAGCATGGCGTCGACGGCTCCTGAGGGAAACGAGCCCTGAACCCTGGGGCCTTCCCCTGGGACGCGTCACTCCTCGCGTAGGGCCCCCGGCGAAAAACATCAGGACCCGCTTCCCTCAGGACCCGCCTCCCCCATGGGTAGAAGAAGAAGAAGAAGAAGCAACGCCAGAAACATAAATCTTTGGCGCTCCGCGCGGATTTCTGGGATCTGCGCTGGGACCCCCCTCCCCGGCGCGCGGAGCGCGCCAGGGGCGGCGCCGGAGGCGCCGCATGCATGCGGAGGGCCCAGCGCGGATCCAAGAAACCCGCGCGGAGGGCCTAAAGGCTTGTGTTTAACGCCGCCTTTGTTCGCCTCCTGCCCCTCGCGAAGAAGGCCCTCTCAGTCCGACATCGCGAGCAGCGACCCCGCTGGCACCGCCGCCTCCGCCGCCGCGCGACCGACGGAGCCGGCGGGGGCAGCCTCGCGGCGCGCCAAGAATCTGTGCTCGTGGCGTGCCTTCTCCTGCGAGAAGAACATCACGGCCCGCCTCCCTCGGGACCCGCCTCCCCCTGACAACGGAGGCCCTCTCAGTCCATGGTCGCGAGCAGCGACCCCGCCGGCACCGCCGCCTCCGCCGCCGCCCGCCCGACGGGGCCGGCGGGGGCAGCCCCGCGGCACGCCGCGGGCTCCCGCGGCCTACCAGCAGGGAATCGGAGAGGAGCCCCGCGTACGAGCGGCGGGCACGCCCGCGCCCTCGCGGGCGGAGCTGCCCAGGGCGCGGCCCCGCGGATGACCCCACGACCCCGCGGCCCTCGTCGTGCGCACCCTGTTTCCTCAACCTCCCTCCTCCCTCCTCTGGCCCCGGGCGAAGGCCTCGGGGTCTAGGACCTGTTTCCCTCGGGATCCTCGTGGGCGCGGCCTCGCGGGCCACGACCCCGCGGATGCGGTTTTTTGCATGTCTATTTGCGGAGGCCCCACGCGCCACGCACGTGCCGTGCGACCGCGGAGTTCTCCGGGGGAACGGGCAGGATCAGCGTGATTGTGATGGTGAGGCGGAGCAGGACGGAGGGGGAGAGGCGAGGAGAGAGGCATGGGGAGGGGAGGAGGAGGGGGGAGAAGGAGCAGGAGGAGGTGGGAAGGAGGGGGAAAGGAGGCGGGTCGAGGAGACGGAGGAGGCGGGTCCAGGAGGAGGAGGAGGAGGAGGAGGAGGAGGAGGAGGAGGAGGAGGCGGGAGGAGAGAGGAGCCCTGGGGCCTGGGAGGGGCCCATGCATGCCCAGCCAGGCCGACAGCAGCGGAAAACCGCCGGACCCGTTTCCCTCAGGAACCGTTGGCGCCATGTCGGGCCCTGGACCTCTCCAAACGGCACCTTCCCAGCCGTGGCGACGAGGGCGCCGCGGCGCCGTTTGCTTCATGGCGAGCCTGGCGGCCCAGAAGGCGACCCCGCTGGCGGCAGCGCTGGCGGCCGCCGCGCTCGCCTCGTCGGCGGCGGCCGGCCGCCGCACGGCGGCTCGGCGCGCCTGCAGACCGCCGGCGCCCTCCGCGCAGGAGCCCTCGGCGTCGGAGTCCTCGGCGCCCAGGAGCAGCTGGTCGGGGTCGTCCTCCGCCGGGGCCCAGCGCGGGCCCGCCGCGGGCGGCCCCGCCACGGCCTCGGCCTCGTCCGGCTCCTGCTCCTCCGCGCCCTCCTGCAAGAGGGCGCCCACTGCGCACCCCTGCGGCGGAGCCCGGCCCGCGGGCCCATCCTTGGGGATGTAAGCGCCGCATCAGAGGCACGCCGCCGTGGGGGAGGCGTCCGCGCGCTGCGGCTGATGGAGTGCCAGGCCCTTCGGACAAGAACGAAGGGGCAACGCGCTGACGGGCTCCCCACGGCAGCATGTCGCTGCTACTCCTCTCCCTCCCGGGTCCCGGGCTCAGCATCGGGGCGTGCGCCCTCCATGCGTAAGGCAGGAGGGCTCATGCATGCAACGATATCCTGGGCCCAGGACTGGCCCGACTAGCAGTTCGGTGCATAATCCATGCCCAGACTGCCCGAGCTTGTTCGATGCGCGGCCACAGGAGTCCCGACCCATGCCCCAGGAACAGTTGTTCGCCACCGATCCACGTTTGACGGCCGCCGCCGAAATCAAGGAAAACACCCCGACTGAGAAACTATCCCGTCATACTCTGCATTTCCAGACGAACCCAGTTTGCTCAATGCGCGGTCACAGGAGTCCCGACCCATGCCCCAGGACGAGTTGTTCGCCCCCGATCCACTTTTGACTGCCGCCGCCGAAATCGAGAAAACCGTCCCGACTGAAAAGCTGCCCAGCAGAGCACCCTCATGACGGAAACAAAGATGAAGAGGCGGGAAACACGTGCACGTCTGCGCATTCCTAGAATTAGGTCGGGCATGTCCCCCTACAGGCGGTACCGTGGACGAATAGTAAAATACACCAAAATGCTCAACCATATTTCAGAATGATAGGAAAACTGCCCCCGGACTATTTTCTTACTGTTTTTGCCCTGTAGAGGGACACGCCCGCCTTAACCCTAGAAATGCTGACATGCAGGGAATGGGTGAGAGCACAACCATGCGCACCGTAGCGTATGGAGGGGGAGGAGGGGGAGGAGGAGAGAGAGGAGGAGGGGGAGGAGGAAGGGGAGGAGAAGGAGGAGGAGGAGGAGGCCGCAGCGTGGAAGAGCGGGTGCTCGGTGTTCCTTGAGGCCTGCGGGTCCCGCGGCGCGGCGGGCTCCCCTGGCGCGGCGGCGGGCGCCGCGGCCATCGCCGCGTCCAGCGCCTCCGCCAGCGCGCCGGCCCGCTCGAAGAAGCCCGGCGCCGGGGGCGCCGCGGCGGTGGGCTCCATCATGCGAGGCGGGCAGTCCAGAGTCTAGAGTTAGGGCGGGCATGTCCCCCTACAGGCGGATGTTGGACCAAAACTGAAAGATAGTCAGAGATTCTCAATAGTAATCAAAAATGCAGAAAGAAAATGGCCCGAGACTATTTCTTTACTATTTCCGAAGATTCCTCCTGTACAGGGGCACGCCCGACTTAAGTCTAGAGGGTCGCACTTGGGGTTCGAGCGAGTGGGTCGGAAAATCGCGCCGCATCACCATCGCCGAAGCATCGCCGTCGTTGGCGACGCATCGGCGACGTCGGCGTGGGGAAAACGGGGCTCCACATCGAGCCACATCGCCGATTCATCGGCGATGCGGCGCGATCCGAACTGATAGCAATGATAGCAATGATGTGCGATGGCAAGCCTCAAGGACGCCCATTTCAAAGCGTTTCGAGCGGGCCGGCTATCAAGGATGCAAGGGTACCCTTGAGAAGATTGCCCATCCGTATTATCGATTCCAACTCTACTGTGAACCCATCTGGGATGCCTGGGCAGTCCGAGGCACAGCGGCTGCGAGTCCCCCCCCCCCCTCCCCCCCCATGTGAGGCTCCAGGGCGTAGCTTGCACGGCAAGCACGTGTCGAGACGATTCTGGCGTGGGCTTCTGACATCGCGTGGACCGCTCAACCTTTCAACGATCGGCGGCTGTCTGGCGCCGGGAGCGCCGCGGCGGGGACTCCATCATGGAGGCGTGCAGTCAGAGGCACGGCGACTTCCCAGGCCGTGAGTTTCCAGGCCGTGAGTTCCCGGCCCGCCCCCTGCCCCCTGGAGTTTCAATGCCGTTGCTTGTGCAACTTGTGGGTCCAGCAGTTGCCGCAACTTGCGCTCTTAGCCAGCCTGTCCCTAAGATCGGTCAGCTCGAGACGATGGCCCAAATTAGGGATGCCCCCCCGCAGAAACGCGAGAAAGCATCCTAAAGATCGGCAGTGAGCCAGGGTGATGCCAATCACAGGGCTGGGGATCTGTTTCAGGCCAGCAGGCTCTGCATGGCTCTTTGAAGGGGACGGTGGCTGCCGCAACGCGCACTCTGAGCACGGCACGCTCGTGTCGTGGCGACCACGGCGCTGATTACTGACACCGCGTTGATCGCAAAACCTTCAGCTCTTCGGCGGATGTTTGCTGGCCAGGATGGTCCATGCTGGCCCATTCTGGGCCACCGGCGGCGTTCAACCCTCAACGCCCTCGATGGGTTCGCAGCCGCGTCGGCACGACACGAATCTACCGTAGATAAGGCGGGGGGGGTCCAGGAATTGGGCTGCCGCGAGCGGAGGCTGCGAGCGGAGGCTGCGAGCCTGTGTGCTCAGTCGGACTGAGGAAGCCACAGTCTTCACAGCTTCGGCACCTACGTTGGACGGAGCACACATACACATCCGTAGGGCCAGACCCTGGGGCCAGGAGGGAGGCAAGTGAGGAGGAAGAGGGAGGAGAGTTGCCCTCCCCCTGAGGCGAGGGGAGGGGCGAAGAGGATGGTGGAGAGAGATGGGCCACGGCGGTTTCCGGGGCCGTGTGAATACCTACGGCGCCACGACACCCATAGAAAAAGCAACGGCCGCGGCTCTCCACCCCGTCCCTGCGCGAGAGGCTCCTCCAGCCGGGTCGGCCCGTGACGACCCTGGGACCCGAAGCACAGCCAGAGGCCTCCTGACCTCCCCCGAGGCCTCCTCACGCGCGTTGGGCGCGAGTTCATGGGGGGGGGGGGGCGACAAATGGAAGGGGGAATGAGAATCCCTCTTCGGGCCCGAAAGGCCTCCTTCGGGGCTCCGAAGCGGTCCCCTCCAGGGGCCCCACAGGGCCCCTCTTCGACAGTCCTCGCCACCCTCCGTCTTGTCGCCCCCACTGCGCGCCCTCCGAATCGGTTGTCGCGTCACGGCGCTGGGGCGAGACGGGCGCAGGCGCCGCGTGTCTGTCTGCCCTAGAGGGGGGGGGTCTCTGGGCCACTGGCGGCGCTTGCGTGCCGCGTCGACACGACGCGAACCTGCGCCCCCCGCTGACTCACCCGAGACGCTCCGGGCAGGGGCACTTCCCGCGCGTGCCCCGCGACGGCCCGAAGTGCGGCACCGAGGGGGGGGGGGGGGGCGCAGGGGAGGCCGCCCACGCCGCACCGCGCCCGCGCGCGGGGGGAGCGCGCCGGACTGCGGGCGCTGGAGCCTACCAGGGAGGGGGGAGCGGAGGCTGAGGAGGAGCGAGGAGGAGGAGGAGGAGGAGGAGGAGGAGGAGGAGGAGGAGGAGGAGGAGGAGGAGGAGGAGGAGGGGGAGGGGGGAGGAGGGGAGGAGAGGAAGGAGGAGGAGGAGGAGGAGGAGGGATAGCAGGAAAAGACGGACGACCAAGAGCAGGACGAGGACGAGGACGAGGAGGAGGAGGAGGGAGGAGGAGCCCAACAAGTATTCCCTCCTCGGTCCCAAGACTCAAAAACCGTTCAGTGTCGATACGCTCGATCTGTTTTCTGATGATCAAGGCTGAAGTAGGCTGGAGCATCAGAAACCACGGCACGGATCCTGGCCAGGCTCGTCCTGGGGCCAAGGGCCCTGTGCGAACTGCAGTCGGTGTTACTGCGCCCTCCCAGTTTCGGCTAGGGAGGCACAGGTGCACCGATCTTGGGACCGGGACTGTCAGACCGACAAGGCTCGGGGGGGGGTTGTCGGAGGACGCCCCCCGAGGCGGAGCGCGAGGGAGGAAGAAGGTCGAGAGGAGGGAGCACCCTCCAGATCCTCCCTGTCACTCTCTCTGCCTCCCTCCCTCCCTCCCCCTATTGCGCCCCTCGGGAAAGGAAATCACAAGGAGGAGGAGGGGGAGGAGGAGGAGGAGGAGAAGGAGGAGGGAGGCGCGAGGGCGCGGGAGGGGAGGTCAGGCAGCGGGGGGGAGGGGGAGGAAGGCCACGGGCTCGAAGACTATCGGACAGGCTGTGCCGGGGCGTGCAGCCAGGCCACGCCGAGGCCGCACGAGGCGGACCTGGAGAGGCCAGTCACTGCCACGAGGAGCAGCAACCGCTGAGGGCCGGTGGTTCTGCTGTTGGTCGAGCAATGACGACGCGTCCTGGCCTGCCCATAGCCTCGCCAACAAATGCTCTAAGAACCTTCTTGTGGTCTGCACGAACTGTTCTTAGAACATTTCTGGCCGAGACTGTCTTGTTCTAACGCATTGGGCGTATGCTCTAAGAGCGTCGTTTCGTTATTCTAAAATTTTGAGGTTCTAAACACATGGCGTGGTAGGCCTAGAGGAATGCTGGGACGGTCGGCCCCTGCTCAACTTGGACCGCAACTCGAGCCTCACAAGAACGTATGCGACGATGTGAGCGGCACCAGCAAGCTCCCCGCGAGGCGCAGCTGAGGGGAAGGAGCCCCAAACTGGCCCTTCCTCGCCCCCTTTCCGAGAGATGCCCTCAACTGGCCCGTCCAAAAATTGTGTATTGGAGGCAACTGCGGGCAGAACATGCAGCCGACCGCACCCGAGGTCTCGGCGGCAACCCCGCTGTTTCCGTAGCCG